ATCAGTATTGCATTTTCCCCTTCTTCTATCTGAGAAAACAGGGGAACGGAACTTGACACATGTCAGCGGTGTCCCCTACGAACCTCCGGCTCTCACTGTAGAGTCTGCAGAGCCGAGATTGAGTAACAAAGTCCTCACTTCGATGAGAATTCCCAGTCGCTTTCGCGGTCTGTAAATTCTTCATCCCTCAATACATGCCCTTATGACCATCATCGTGAAGCTAACCACGATCAGGCCAGATGGTTTTGTTGGAGCCCTTCTCATCACCAACCCCTGATTGTGGAGGAAAAGCCATCCGGTGAGTTTCCAGAGCGTACCCAGCACCCGATACGGAGATGGTGGATTGGATCAAGTCGACCTCAACTATTACAAAGAAGAGAGATATAAATGAATATGCGCACCTCATGTGGTCCCGGTGTCTAGGACTCGCCTGGCCGGTGCTGCACGCATTTTGAGACTTTTTCTCGCGCACGCAGTTTCCATTGCTACCATTTTATCTTTTCTGGGTAGTAGGTTCCGTGGAAAAGGTGGGCGAATTCCACGGGTAAATACTGAGCTGAATGGCTATTCATCAAGGGGAATATATCAATGATCTTTCAAGTAACAAGAGAGGATGGGAGCACTGTACAAGGTGTGGCCTGGGTCAGAGAGGAGCCCAATGTGCTAGATAGTCATAAACTCAATTAGTTCAATAAAAAACACACACATACCAACATGTATATTAGAGCTTAAGACTAGATGTAACTTGATTTTCTACTAATTCAGAGTATCGTCTATTTAATTACAGTGTTCCTTATCTTGGGCTGGATGGTGCAGTGGTATACCGTTCGGGCCGTTCTCCCAAGTAGGATCTCGGTAGCCTGAACACTTGCCCCATTTGAGATAGGAGAAAGCTGGTACGAATCCAGTAAAACCCACACACCACACCATCTCATGGTGATATTGTACATGTAGGATGATGAAAACACACTCGGATAACCATAGGGGTTTCACACTTCTCCCTGAGATGGTTTTGCACGGAAGAGGTTATACGCCGTAAGGGTTAACCTCGAGTAGTATCTGCAAATGAAGTCTGAGTGTGAGTGTTCTAATCGTCAAATTGAGTAATCCTACTTAAAGTACGTGTTGTGACGGAACTGATCACATTAGCTATTCGCATAAAAGTGTGTCGTAAATTGAATTATATTCTGTATGAAGAGAAAAGTACTACGAAGACTACATGCTTATCTTCTCAATACCGCGCGTCGCGTATGGATTTATGCATGAGTTATCCTTTACAAAACTCCTTAATCCAGCCAAGCCATATACTCTATGACTTCTAGATAAATGAACATGATTAACTCCGGTTATAACTAAATAAGGCACTAGCCTGTGACACATGTCTTCCGATAAAACCTGCATGGGCCTCAAGGCGCCAAACTGGAATTTGAAATTTTATTTATTCCTTATCTTTCTCCCGGACTCCGACGTGAACAACATTACATAAGCATTATAACTTATCAGAGCTTCCTTTTTTTTTTTTTTTTTTTTTTTAATCATTAAGTGTATGCAGCCTAACTAGCTATGACACTATATACATATTTATCCTTCTGAACCCACTCATCATCTCATACCACCATTTTATGCATATTACAATAGGAAGAAAATTCTTGACAAGTAAACCATATTTAATCAGTTGGTATATTTCTATCTTCCTCAACCTTTCCCCAAGATAGGCAGCCAGTTGTTGAGAGATATTTTAGAAGCGAAGTTTTCCCCACATTTGTGTTGAAAATAATTGGAAGTGTAAATGGTAAAAGGTTTTTGAACTCTTTTCTCCTCTGTTTCTTGAAGAATGAACAGTAAAGTATTAAATGTTCAATTGTTTGAACACTTTTTGTGCAGTAATTGCAGATATTAGTATCGCTTTTCCCAATCTTATTCATATATGCTAGGTGACTTCCTATACCTGTCCTAGCTTGAATATATGCTGACTGGGTTTTTCGAGAAAATTTGATCTTATCAGAGCCTCGTACTCATCTAGAAGACTATCAGTCTGGGCTCCTCATCAACCTTAATATTTTGTCTCGCTTGTCGCTGACATAATCAACTCATGGGAGAGCATAAATTTCGGATCCCATTTGGAAGGCAATCACATGTCATAGGTGGATACCTAAGAATAATAATTAGATTGTCTACAACAAGGTCGCATGGGGAGGGAAAGATGGGAATATACGAAACGATGATACTATTTAGGAGGCTAGATCGCTGTAACAACCAAGTAACACATAACAATACGTGGCTTTTCAGCAAGTCTGACGTCTGGAAAGCTATCAGTTATTAAATTCTCGAAGCAGATCAGTCGTTGTAAAACCTGTTGGTTGTAGCTAGAGTTCTCTTTCCTCTTCATATGGTTTAATAAATCGGCGTAATCAACACTCACTAGGCTTCCGTCACACATGGGCTTGCGGACCAACTTCTTTGGGGGTTCGGAATTCGGCTGAGCTTAGCTCTAGAAGATATTACACTTCAATAACTACAGCTGATACCGCTGATTAATTCTTAATCTTCGCCCTCCAAACGCGTGACGTGTTTCTGTACGTCTTTAATCATCTCTTTTGTCGGCCGTCTTGCAATGCCTGCGCTGTTTTGTTTCGGCGAGCTGGGGAGATCTAAGCGTTAAGCGGCTTGCTCATTACGTTTCAGCCGAGGCAAATCCCGTGAAGTTAAAACCCGCTGCTTTCGCGCGGAATGATTAACCCTAAATTTCTAGTTGCTGGCAAGTGGAGTAACTGACGGCGCTGCTCAACATCCACGAATCGTGGTATTTAGATGATAATCTAAGCGTTGGTGACTTTCACGCTCTCTTTCCTAATACTCGGAAAGCTGATAAGCTGGCCAGGTATTCAACTAGTAGAAATTAGGTGGATAAATACCCACGTTGCCTTGGATTCTGATCATGCATGATTGGAAAGAGAGATGAATTGACTAGATACGACAAAGATAACTTGAAGATTTCCTGGATTTCGATCAATTTGTGTTAGAATTTAGAATAATTGGAGCTATCTAGTATGCCACGTTGTTGGTAAACACGTGACTACACATTCTGTACTTAGTTTCACTTCGGTAGTTACTTGAATCAATGCGCTCTACAACCTCAATGACTGAGGGGTCATTATTTCCTTAATAATTTGGCCTATTCTTTGGTATCGGTCATCCCCATGTCAGTACCTTTGCTGACAAGAACTGATGAATTGTGATTTCCTATTTTTCTTTACTTTAAGACTACTAATGACATGTATCTTTCTCTGTCTACTGCCTATAGCTACCAAAGCCTTTTCACGCTGTCCATCTATCAGTACCATGCCTCAAAGTCTAGTTGAATTATAACCCTAGAGAGGTCCCAGCCTATACAATATCTAGTATCCAGGCGACGATGAGATGGTCATGTGCATGAGAATGGTAGATGAGATTTTTTTTAAATTATTTAACGCAGACGGGATTATTTACCAGAGTCATTGGGCGCCGCATGTTCTTGCTATGATCTGACCAAATGTAAGCACAAGGCTATCCTCCTGAAGCGCCCAGAGAGGCCATCTTGATGGGCAGTGTGGACTTACGTCTAACGAAGATGATCATTCTGCCGAAGGCTAAGAATAACTACCGAAGAAGTTGGACAGGGAAATGTCTCAGGTCAAAAATAGGGACTGTCCATACGTACGTGGGTTGTTTGTTTAGGTCAGTGCTTGCATTCTGTATTTAGAACCGTAGGTTATTCTATTCCTAGCGCATGTCTATATTTAGAGATTAAGAGATAAAGTCAATCATGATCAGTGTATATAGTCCTAGAATTCTGGGAGAAATAGGAATAAAGTTGTTTTTACTGAGTTATCTTTTACTTTAATTACATACACTTCGCCTGTCACAGGTCGGGCTCTCAGTTACCTGACAAATTCCGCCTCCCAGCGTTCCTCCATAATGTGTGCTTTGAGAAGATTTGGGGGCCGGTTAGAAATACCAGTAATTTTTTTCAGAGCGCAAGTTATGTGTTATAATAACTAGGCTATATAGGAGCAGGACGATGGATACTATTTGGGTAGTTGTGCTCACAGTAGGCCTCGTTAATCGCTATTGCGAGTGTTCTCGTGATATGTCAGACTTGTATCTATATTCTCATATAAATGAAACTTGATTACAACGAATGAACGGAGGTTGAGGCCTCCCTAAATGCTGCTCCAAACTTACATATATGCATTAAACACTAAACACCCCACGATTTAGTTCCACAGTTACGTGAATCATTTATGATGTGACCTTAAGCATCTATCATGGTAAGTTACATGGATAACACAACATTATTTGTTTGTTCCATACTTGTTGTCCTACCAAGTCCACCACTAAATTAAGACATCTAGGCTACTTTTAGTGTGTGCTGTAAATCAGAATGGCTAGACTAGTTATCGTGTTGGGTTCCGTGTAATGTTATATAATTATCGACGATGGAAGCTCTCCTGGCTGAGGGCCGGTAGGAAACATCGCTCGTATTTCTTGTATCTTCGTTACCCACGCCTGGCTGTTGAACCTCATGGCCACGAAACCAAGTTGCTGTGATGGAATTTTATAAGCCTTAAAAATATCATGATAGAATACACTCGTTTATGAATTATTGCTATTAATACTTCATCGGCTCACTTCATCAATGCTATGTTGCTAAATATATTTTGCTTCGCCATCGCCTTTTTTTTCTACTGAGCTACTTAGTGTGATCCATTTATTTAGTTATCAGATTCAATAGTCAAATCATATAACCAGGATTTACTGGAAAATTTTGAGCTGGTTTCATAGAGCGACTATCCGTTACGTCTATCAATTGTATTGCACCACGGAATAAAAGCGTTTTCTCATTAGGATTTATTAGTTGATATATTTGGAAAATGAGTCGCGAAAATTAGTTAAATCCAACATCGACGACTTATTTCACCTCGCTCCTTTCAAATAAAAGACCGTTTGGCCACAATGCCTTACGAAGCCTGCGCATCCTCTAGAGCTAATGGTTCTATGTTCCAAATACTCTCTGCGTACTCGTTGATACATCTGTCGCTACTGAAAAACCCCATTCTAGCAACACTATTAATAGTTTTAGTTATCCACTCGTCTTGATTCTTATACGCATCATCCACTAGTGCCTGTGTCTGGATATAGCTGCTAAAGTCATCCGAGACCAGGTAGTAATCACCATGATCCTCAACAGAGCCAACTAAGGCACTAAATAAACTTGCATCCCCAAAGGTTCCTCTCTTAATCGAATCAAATACCTTACTAAGATCAGGGTCAAGTGTATGTGTGCCGTAGTTGTGCATATGTCGAAGGTCCTCTACATCCTCGGATAGATTTCCAAAGAGGAAAATATTATTCTCGCCAATCTCGCGCGTTATCTCAATCTGTTAAAAATTAGCTCAGAAAATGTGAAAATAAGTGGAAATTTTTACATTGGCGCCATCGCAAGTACCAATAATAAGGCCACCATTTAACACAAACTTCATGTTGGATGTACCACTAGCTTCTGTACCTGCAGTCGAAATATGTTCACTTAGGTCGCTAGCTGGGATAATTATCTCGGCCTTTGAAACGTTATAATCTTCAAGAAAGACCACTTTCAATAGATCCCCAACATCTTCGTCTTTATTGACTACAGCACCGACACAATTTACAAGGTGGATAATGGTCTTAGCCATCCAGTAGCCGGGTGCAGCTTTGCCGCCAAGGATAGATACTCGGGGCACGAGATTCTTGCGTTCTTCCGGACTCATTGACTTAATCATCAGGTACCGGTGAATAATACCAAAAATATTCAGCTGTTGGCGTTTATATTCATGTATTCTCTTAACCTGTATATCAAAAAGGGCAGATGGGTTGACAACAACATCAAGGGTATTCTTGATATGCTTAGCTAAACGAACTTTATTAGCATACTTTATCTCCGCCCACTCTTTTTTAAATTCTTTATCACAAGCAAATTTCTCTAAATCGTTGAGAAGATTAAGGTCTTTCAAAAATCCAAATCCACCAAGCTTACTGGCAAGCAGTTCGGACAACCGGGGGTTGGCTTGATGAAGCCAACGCCTAGGTGTGATACCGTTGGTGACATTTGTGAACTTGTCAGGCCCAAATATCTTTACAAAATCTTTGAATATTGTTGTTTTAATTAGATTCGAATGGAGTTCAGCAACGCCATTGACTTTGTGGGACCCAACAATTGCTAAGTATGCCATTCGAATCATTTTAGGCTGTGATTCCTCAATAATAGATACTCTACTCAGTAGATCTCGATCATTAGGAAACTTGCGCTCAACACTTTGGAGAAAGTAAAGATTTATCTCGTACGTGATCTGAAGGTGTCTTGGAAGCATATTTTGGAAGGCCGGGACTGACCACTTCTCCAAGGCTTCAGGGAGAACTGTATGATTTGTGTATCCGAACTTGAGCCTTAGTTAGTTTATACATGTATTCGAATATTTATGAAAATTAAAATTAATACTCACAGTCTTGGACACAATTGCCCATGCTTCGTCCCATTCGAGGCCTTCCAGGTCAAGAAGAATCCGTTGGAGTTCAACAATAGCAAGCGTTGGATGGGTATCATTAAGCTGTATAGCAACTTGTTCAGGAAATTCGTGCCATGCACGCTTTGTTTTCTTAAACCGACGAACAATATCGTAGAGTGAAGCGGCAACCCAGAAGTACTGTTGCTTCAGACGAAGCTCTTTGCCGCGATCAAGGTTATCGTTAGGATACAACACTGCACTAATGGTTTCCGCACGCTGCTGGTCCGCGACGGCGCTTTCGTAGTCTCCACAATTAAACTTTTGGAAATCAAATTCGCCACTCGCCGCTTTGCTAGACCAAAGGCGAAGATTGTTCGTAGCATTTGTACCGAATCCAGGGATGGGAAAATCATAAGCAACCGCTTTAACGATTTCACCATCTTCCCAGACTGCCTGCTGCTTGCCTTGAGCATCCTGAAACTTCCTAACATGACCATAGAATTGAATCTTTCAAGTTAATAGGATCATAGAGTAGTCGTCAGCTAACTTACATCTACAACAATGTCATGCCTCGGAAACTCCCAGGGATTAAAGTCTAGCCAATAATCAGGCACTTCCACCTGATAACCATCAACAATCTCTTGCTTAAAAATACCATATCGATATCTTAAGCCATAACCCCAAGCAGGATAATTGAGCGAAGCCATCGAATCGAGAAAACACGCAGCCAGCCTACCAAGACCGCCGTTCCCAAGAGCTGCGTCATGCTCTTGTTGGATAATATCTTCAATACGGAAGCCCAGGTTTGATAAACCCTCTAACCAAAATTAGCCACTCCGGGAACCTTATGCTTTACGAATTATGGAGATCTTACTCGTAGCAACGTCCTTCAAGCCGACATTTAACATAGCATTGTCCAGGGTTCTGCCCATCAAAAACTCTAAACTTAGATAATAAATCCTTTTCCCATCCGCAAAGGTTTGTCGCTGTTGTGTACGGTTCCACTCAGTGATCAGACGATCCCTAAATGCTAAGCTTACGGCCGCATAGGCAGCAGTTTCGTCACAGTTAAACATGCTTCTCGCCAGTGTAGTTTCAACATGTCTAACAACGTCCTTTTCAAAGTCTTCTTGGCACGAGAAGCCTTTAGCGGTATACTTTTGCCAAACAGCACGTTGACTCTCAGGAATAGATGCTAAACTAGTTAATCAATATGTTCCGTTAAGTTATTTCATAAAAAAAATATTTGTATTGTAGACATGGGCAAGCTCGAACATACCCTCAACACTCTTAATATCACCGGCACCATAGCCCGTAAAAGTACGCTTGTGCTTGGGTCTGGTAAACCCAGGTCCAATAGGCCCTTGCAGGTCTGTGACGGGTACACTTGTAGATAGACGTCGCTGTCTAGTTGGAAGTTCGTTTCTCGTTTCTGCAGCCATTGTTAATAGAATTTAGGGCTACAAAGAGTTGAGTTAAAATGAGATTCGCAGAATATATGAACGATCGAGAATGAAAATCGTTTATCAAGTTAAGCTGGTGCTCGGTACCCGCCAGAGCGGGCGTGCGGGGTTGTACATATCCGCTCAAGCCACCTAGCCAGGGGATGAGTACATATGGACTTGAGCAACATTTGATAAAGTGAATCAAGGAAAACTTGCAATTAAAGACAAGGAAAAAGAATCTTGTACTAGTTAGGAAAATTAAATAATGACCTGATGTGAGCCAAAATACCGAGAACGCTAGTACTCAAAGTCTTTCTTGCGGTAAAATTATTTGTAGTGCTGAATTTGTACTAGATTTTCTTGAATTTCACCAGTCCTTTGATAGTTTGAGTTTGTGTTAGCGGTTGCTATTAACATCGCTACAGTTTCTATTGTTAGATACAATACAAGTTGGTGCACTTCTGGAGATAAGGCCAGCCATCTCAAATTAGAAGGGCCTTGCTAAGTTTCATCTCACTTGATATATAGTACATCCCACGAATTTCCCTGATCCCTGGACCAGATGAGATTACATGAATTTTGGTCGAATATAGCCGCTTAGCTTAGGAGGTCTTGCTGAGTTTCATATATATGCTATCATGACACCGATCGCCCAAATAACTCCTTGCATTAATCATCAGGGAGGGCTAACACAAACGCCGCGCCGGAGAAAGAGACTTTAGGAAAAGCTGTCGTGGAGGATCAATTTGAGTCGTATATTAGAACTCTAAAGAATACCAGAGTCCTTAAGAGCATTTTGTAGAATTGTTTCCTTAACGGCGGCGAAAACTAGGCGAATATTTGAAGTATCGGTTGCTTGTGTGAGGCTGATCTAGTTAGAAATATCATGTACTTAAAGGGTGATCACATACTGGGGATACAAGTTAAGATGAGCTCTATTAACCTGGTTGAAGCGCCAGAGGAGGTATTTTGATGCGCGGTTGATTTCATTCCCACCCGAGTAGTCGGGGAAATAATTACTCAGGGGCGAGCGTGCCAGTTTTGCTCGAAATAAATCAACTTTATTCAGGAATAGAATTATGCTAGTCCGCATAAACCATCTCGAGTTGACGACAGAGTCGAAGAGAACCAAACTTTCCATCATTCGATTCTGGAGTCGTCAGCTAAAACAGACTATCAATGTAATAGATTACGCACCTGATTACTTTCTTCTAGCAGCACTTGATCATATTCGCTTAACGCTACACAAAAGATAATTGATGTGACGTTTTCGAAACAATGGATCCATTTTTTCCGTTCACTTCGCTGGCCACCCACATCAAACATACTTGCAATGGTTAGCTACTTTCGAAGTTATTCAAACGATCATACTGTATGCTCAAAGATCCCATCGTGAACCTCGTCTCGTATATTCCCGTAGTCTTGGTCCTTGCTCGCAATACATCGGCTTCATTTGGTATGTAGTCGGGCCCTGTTATCCTTTTTGCTTCTTCGAAGAAACTAAAAACGTTAGCTTCTGCTCCGCCAGTTCGTTTTGTCAGGGCATGTACTATGGTGCAGAATCCATCAAATAAAATTCACTCTGCCTCTCCATCAATGTCTCTATGTTTGGATCTGCCCATAATGACATTACTGCGATACCCACTTTAAGGCTAAGAGATGTATGAGGATCCGGGTCTACCTGATAATCCATCAAGTAGTCGCTAAATTCAATATTTGTAGGGTTTTTGGGTTCTATATTAAATTGGCGCATGGCTCCAATTAATGCTTTGGCACAATCGATTAAATTTTTGTAGACAGTCATGCGATAAAGGGCCAGCTCGTCAACTGTGTATCCATTTTGGTGAATAATCTTCATCTGCTTTACAATGGTGGACTTTCCACTTTCACCTGACCCTAATTATTTATTAGTAGCCGGCTGAATTATCTGCACAAAGTACTATACCCAACAGTAGGATCTTGCATTCTCGTCGTAACCGCTTCGAGTCAACCTCTAAACTTCGATCGATCATTTGGCTCCTCTTCTTTTGCTCCAACTCATCGGCATTTGAGCTCATACAAGCTCCCATCTCTCTATTCGTCAGGCAGCGAGCGCAGCCGAGGGTTTTGATGCGTCCTGGAGCTCGTCGTCAACGTGTAAATTTTAGGCATGGGCCTTAAGTATAAATAGGAGACAGGCTCTAAATATCATGCGCTGAGGGTTTCAGCTTTTATTAAGCTTTTTGTGATAAACTCATTGGTTGTTGTATCAAAAGGTTCTGTTGCGACCCCAAATAGCGATCAAATTCGAAAGACAATCTTATAATATTGGCGTGGAGAATAAATGTTTACACGTTACAAATTCAGCAGTCAGAACCGAGCTGACGAGGATGAGGCGTATGTAGATGTGGAGTAGCGAAGCCTAGAGCGAGATACTATTAGAAGATGATCGGTGCTAAATTCCTTGATGTCTTTAAAAATTGAGGACGAATTTTTGAGTGAATCGAAGCTTACGGCAAAGTATATGGAAGGTAGTGGTAATCCTATTTGGCTTTGGGCTGTAGGAGGAATAGAAACTGGGGGGAGCAAAGTAGATGAAGAGAGGGGGGGAGGGGGTAAGAAACAAGCGCAAGCGCCAATGTAGGTGCGAGTTTGTTTGGGGTCACAGGATGAGGCATGGCATGGTCAGAAAATAGGAACGAGTGGCCCTAGCTGGGGTGGCTGGGACGAAAGGGGAGGAAGAATTGGATGCGGGATCGGTTGCCGGGACCAGCGGCATTTGAGATTTTGAAGTTGGGGTACATGTAAACTGACATTGATGGTGATCGCCTGTATCTAGATACCCTCTAACCGCGTTAAAATCCTCGTCTCAATACTAATCTTTTTCTGCCTACCCCAATCCCGTAATATTTGAACCAGTTAGCAGTCGACTCGAACCCACGAATGATAAAAACTTCCAAGCACCACCGATCTGGCTGAAGGACGGACCAGCCCCTCCTGGATTGTCATCAGAAGTGGAACTATGAGGAACTGGGTCAATTAAGACACCGATCGCAACCTCATAATATCACTACATAAACCAAACCATTTATCATACCCATCTATAATATTCAATGACTAGTTTGATTCAATGTAATCTAACTACTTTTGGGGTTTGGAAAGTGTAAATATGATACCAATCGTGTTTTATTTCCATCACGTGACAACTTTATATGTTTTATTGGAGTTTTCGCTTCATTACACAGGCCACGCCACATCTTGCGCCTGCACAAGTCTAGCAAACTTGAAAGCTCCAGAGTCAAAATTAGGCCTCTCTTTTGTTCTCGTTACGATTACTTGAGACTTGCCAGCATTGATTCAGTAATGATAATAATTCGAATTAGGAACCCGTGGCGACCAATTCCTAATCTATTAATTTTTGTCGAGGAGAGCGGTCATCCAACATCTCCATCCCATCTAGATGTCGGCGTTTCATCTGTTTCTAAAGTGGCATTAGTTTGTTCGTATACATGTTTCTAATTGCGCTCGTCTACGCCAGGTAGCCAATCTCATCATCCTCGAGTCGTTCGAGATATTCCTTTTCAAGTAAGATATCGATACATTTCTTAATGTCTGGGATTTTGGGGATGAAGCGGGATCGTATTTGATTGATAGTCTCGCTTATTAGCTGAGTATGTTTCATCTTCTTTCGTGCTTTCATGATTCGCACAATCGCCGACTGATTCAAGTCAGTCGTATATGACAAGATGTAGATTAGGTAAACTCACCTGCATAAGTAGCTTGCGGTCTTCTTCAATGGTCTTATGAGTATCCTCTACTTCCTGCTTTTGCTCAGACTTAACAGCAATATTAAGATTGATTCTTAACTTCTTGCTTTTGAAATCGAAATTTAAACTAAATATTTTACCGGGGCCAACAACTTCCTTTTTTTCATGCTCAGTTGGGACTATCGTGAGAACTTTCGCCTTCACCATGATAGCTAAAGCGGGATCTAGAACCTCGGCAGATATTCTTGTGGCGTTGACAATATCTTCGTAGCTGTTCCGGTCATTCTCATTAAACAGTAGCAGAATTGCCATCTGATAAGTAGAGACCTGAAACGTATATGGAACCTTGCTGCTTTTACAATAGTTGGCTTTTACTTCCCCTTTACATAACTGCCATAGCCAAGTAAGCTTTCGACCGCTATGCTTTTTACCATAGTAATTTTGGAAGCGTTCATAAGCTTTTGCAATTTCAACGGGTGGGGTAAATTCCGTTTTTGGCGGGTTAAGAGGCCAAAATCCCGTTCCAAGAATAGAATAAGTAGCATCAACTGGCTTCAGATTTATTTCTGCCGTGTCTAGCAACTTATTTTCGAAGTCTTTAAACCCACTGTTCAAATCTTTCGAAATTTGTAGATCCTGGAACATGCGTTGGAGCTTATTAGTATATTCGTAGCCACACGCTTCCTTTAATTTGCTTATCATACTTGTTTCAGCGTCATCAGAAGAAGAATTTGTGTGAACTAATCTACGGGCTAGCATTCGTGAATAGAATTTTTGAAAAACATCCTTATCTTCAATGTATTTAAATACGGTCATAATCTGAGAGAGTGAATTCTCGATATCACTATCCTCCCCACCACTAGCACTTTTCTTGAGTAATGTATCAGAGTATTTTGCCAGAAGTTCCGGTGATTTATTTGAGCCAGATTTGCAAACTTGATTTCGGTTAACAAATTCCCTACAGGCGTTGTCTAGAGATCTGGTAAATTCAGGCTCATCCCTGAAAGCTTGCTTAACTAGATTTTGATACTGCCTATGGATTTCAAGTAGCGCATCGACATAATCTTTAGGCTCTAGCTTGTCAGAGTCCTCGGCAACCTTTGATACAGCATTAAGACCCGCTCGACGAACGTGTGCTTCAAATTTAGCTCGCAGTGGGTCAAGACCATCGGTTATCCTAGAGAGCAGATTATACATGCGCTGCATATCTTCGTGGCGATCGTTATCTAAGAGGACTTGAAACTCATCCCGGAGGAGTATAGAGTGGTCCGCTATAAGAGCTGTGTGGCACGTTTTTTTTAGCGGAACTATAATGTCAGAGTGCAAATACATATTAACTCTCTCCTCTTCTTCATCCAACCGCGCCTCGGCTTTCTTCATATACTCAATAATACTGTTCTCGGCAACAAATTGCTTTGATTCAGCCTGGTAAAATTGTCGCGTAGCTTCTAGAAAAGGACGTTCAAAGTGAACCCTGTAGACATCAAGCGTGGATTTAGCGGGATCCGATTCATCTAAGCCGAGGGAAACAAAGGAATCGACAATGCTTTTAATCTGGCTGTGCTGGATAGTTTCACCGTGGCGCTGTCTCTCAACCATCTTCAACACTGCCTCCATGACCTTATCGTGTAAGTCGCTGAAAAGAGTTATCCTCCACTGGACGAGATGAAGTGTATAAACGTCGTAGACATGCTTTTTGCCCTCGTCGATCTCCCTTTTGACCCAATGTCGATTTAAGTACCGAAACAAATGGTTAGTGTATTTGGCTGCAGTAGTGTATCGGTCCCATTCACGAATATAAAAGGTGAGAAGAGCATCATCCTGATGACTTTTGGAAGCGGCTACGAGGTCTTTCAGGTATGTTGTGAGAAATGAGATAAGGTTTTGGTATAAGTCTTCTCCGAGTAGGTGAGCTGTGAGGGTCAGCGAATATTTTGCTCATCTTTCTCTGTAGTGATTTCTTACCTCCTCGCTGCCCACCACCGGCAGCTCCTGAGCCTGAATGGGTAAGAGCCTTTTGCGATGTACAGAAATTATGTACAGCCCTGGGCCCATTAGCGTTTAACGTCAGAATTTCTTCCATGGTAGTGCTACGTGTAAATTCCCATATAAGTACTGAGATCCATTCCTTCGTTAAGATTACTCATTATTTTGGACACTCCAGCTTCTAGATATATCCATCTATTTTTGAGTCAATTTTGCTCTGCACGGAAGTATAATTCTCACGTTGCATCCAAATCCTCCCTGTTGGGAACTGCAGGCATATTAATTGGCCTGTTTGCAGAGGCCATGTTGAATTATGAGGATTCGATAAATACTTGAATTAAAGAACCTATTTTTTTAACTTTAATGAGCCACTGGGTTACTTCAGATCTGGGGAAGGTGGACTTTAAAAATTCAATAGTTGCTGTCAGAGTATCCAAGGTGGGACTGAGTTGAGAGTACTTTCTCGCACATTCGTGGTTGCCACCTTGCTATCGCGTATGACAGCACGCGATGAAGAATATAACCTTACGGCTACAACAGGGGTAGAATGACTCTAAACGCTCCCCACTACAGTAATAGATGGGCAAAATATAGTAGTTTCGTAGGCCGTAGCAAATGTAATCTGCTGATGACAATTCGGTAATTACCTATTCCCTTGGCGTCGGGTCGTAACCGATCGTAGTTAGCGATGTGCTGGGAGATGATTTCTCTAAGCCACAAATGGATTAGTAAAATACTCGTATAATATTTATTCCGTTGACGCCATTAGGGTGAATAGGTCCAGCAGTGTTTCGGTATTGGACGGTTCAATCACATACGCTGCTTAGACGACAAATGCTGAGCACCTGCTTTTGGTATCATCTACGATCTTGAAGGTGAAGTATTACCTCAAAGCCGAGATTTAATCACGACAAGGAGTGAATCTGAGTGTTAACAATTTATCGATCAGAATGGGCAGCGCAGCTTGTTCTAGGTCGAGAACCCGACTTGAAGAGAACTCAAGACCATAATAATCAAAGAATTAATAACTTCAACAACATATACGAGCATTAGGAATCCTTAAACCCGGCTGGGAGTCATATTGAAAACAACAAACACTATCTATGGATCTGAACTTTTCTGCAGGATCCTTGCCAGCTCAATAAAAGTGGTAACCCTCTATACACTGATATCTCCTTTTGCGGAAGCAAGTTGAAAATTTTAATAGTAATCATTACTATCAAAAATATAAGAGTAAATCTATCTCTCTGCGACTGTTCTTAGCTGTGGATAAAAGCTTAGGGTTTCGGCCTTACTTTCGTTTTAACCTTGTCCAAGGACCTCATCAACTCGATCTTCGACGAATCGCCTCCGGTTGAGTATTCACGACCTTCCGACGGCATTTCAATGAGAGCTCATGGTAAAGGCCTGGCTGTCCATGCCTCGGACTTGAGATCTTATTCGCATATCCAGCCTGTACGACTAGGAGTATGGTGGCGATGAAGGGATGAAAGTTAGAAGAGTTGGACAGTTCTTCAAGTCTCTTGACTGGGGAAATTAGCCAGTGCAGTAAAGAGATGGCACAATTGAGGCAAGAAACAGGGCAGATTTCTGGAAGCCTCTGTGTGCGACTAGAGGAGAATTCTAACAAATAAAACAGACAACTTATGAAATGAAGAGATTATAAGAAGACGCCAAATAGAGACTGGAAAAAAGTTCAAATCCTAAGAACATACGAGCGCTAAAGAGCCTGGCGCGTGAAGATCGAGTTCCCCGGATGGCGAAACGTGTACGATCCGAAACATGTGTCGATTCTGGTGTGATATTTTCAATCTCTTAGGATGAGGCTGTTATGCAAATTAAGAGGGAGACTTATCTAGCCAGGGCACAAATTTTCTTAAGATCCAAGAAAATTGTGGACTGTGCCAATTTCCTAGGGCATTAATTTCTTGAAAATTATCATGTCTCCCGTTAAGTATCGGTAACACTGTAGTGTACTAAAGCTCAATACCTATCAGCGGTGTTCCTTACGAATCTCCAGCTCTTGCTGCAGAGTCTGCAGAGCTGAGATTGAGTAACAAATTCCTCACTTCGATGAGAATTCCCAGTCGCTTTCACGGTCTGCACCGTCTTCATCTCTCAAGATATCCCCCTATGACCATCATCGTGAAGTTAACCACGATCAGATCAGATGGTAGGTTCAGAGCCCTACTCATCACCAACCCTTGATAATTGAGGAGAAGTCATCCGATGAGTTTCCTGAGTGTACCTAATACACGATACGGCGATGGTGGATTGGATCAAATTTGCCTCGACTGTTACAAAGAAGGGAAATATAAATGAGTGTATGCACGTCATGTGGTCCCGGTGTCTAGGCCTCGCCTGACTGGGGCTGCAGGTTTTCCGAGGCTATTTTCCCGCGCACGCAGTTTCCATTGCTAACTTTTTTATCTTTTTATTTTTTTGGGTAGAAGGTTCCATGGAAAAAGTGGCTAAATTTTACGGTTAGACACTGAGCTAAATGGCTATTCATCAAGGGGAATATATCAATGATCTTTCAAGTAACAAAAGAGGATAGGAGCACTGTACAAGTTGTGGCCTGAGCCAGAGAAAAGCTCAATGTGCTAGATAGTATGACTCAAACAGTATAATAAGAACAAAAACAATCAACCGGCTGCTCGGCGATAATATAAAGCTCTTATCGGAAGCTTATATCGAATCCTGTCTCACCAATAGTTTATACAAAATTGGGAAATAAGATTAATGCTTTCAAGGAAATAAGATCACTAGTCATTGAGGTTGTAGAGCGCATTGATTCAAGTAACTACCGATGTGAAACTGTGACGGGAACCGAGTTGTTGATGAATAAATCGATTTATCAAACCATATGAAGAGAAAGGAGAACTCTAGCTACTCCTAACAGGTATTTACAAGAATTGATCCTCCTCGTGAATCTACAGACTAGTGATTTGTCCTTAGGCACAATACTGCTTACCCAGCGACAGCATCATCAAACTTCTTGTGCACCACTAATAGATAAAAGATTATTGTTAATTCCACCTAGGAAAAACTACCAGACGCTACAAGAATAAATCATGATATTCCAAGAATATTGCTTAGACCCACCTATCGATCTCGACGTCCCCCAAAACTCCCTTTCAAATCAATATCTCTTTTACGATGATTTTTCTGAAAATCAAACCCCCGGCCCCATTCAACGGTCTCTCCTCGAAGCCGCTCAATTAGCAGCCTCGAGAGCTCGTGAAGCAGAAAATTTGTTTGGCTCATTAGCCCAACTTCTCGACGAACATTGTTCTTCTCACGCCCGCGCTATTTTACCAGAGCCTCAAGCTCTCCGCAACTGCACCTCAGAACTAACAACTATTGCTGCTAAGCACTTCAACGCATACATGCACGGTACCTCAGCTATCGAGAAATCTAGCCCTGTGAAGACAGCGAAAGTAAACGTCCCCCAAAGCTACGCGGGTGCCGCCAAACGAGGCGCACAGAAGACCCCTCCCTCCACAAATAAGCTAAAAGCTCACGTACGAACTGAAAACGCTAAACCAGACGACAGATTGTTCGTTCGCCTCCCATCCAACAGTTCTCTGCGCAACGCATCGGGCTATGCAATACAGACGCACTTAAAGTCTAAGCTTGGCAGCCAAAGTAAACTTCTATCAAATGTTGTGTCAACAAAGACAGGATTTGCCCTCCGCCCGAGCACTGGTAATGCCGATGCCTTAAACGAGAAACTGGAAACAGTTGATCTGTTTGGGACTGCTCCCATTGAGAAAGCCTCGCCCTGGACGTCCTACAGGATTAAGAATGTCCCTCGATTCTACGGGACAATAAATCAAAACTTGCAATACCGCCTCGAACCAGTCACGACCGAGGCCGTAACAGTTTCTGTAGCAATAGCAGCTAGCGCTACCCTCGTCTCCGTACTCCCGTTCCAGGAAAATGAGACAAATCCAGACATTCCAGACACAACCTGTATTGTTTGCTTTCCTCAAGAGCAAAGCCGTCTTCCGCATATTCTTTATCTCTTTGGGTGTCGCGCCGTCACCCGAATCCTTTCTAAACGCTCGTCGGTATTACAGTGCATGACGTACTGGCTTTGGCACAACAGTCGCGCTTGTTCCTCTGCCCCAAGATGCCGCCTTTGTGGGTCCACCCAACACAAAGAGAAGGACCATAATAACCTCTGCGCCGCACCAGCTGAACATACCTGCCCTCCCCGATGTGTGCACTGTCACGGCCCTCATCCAGCAGACGATCCAACTTGTGGGCTACGGCCACAATACTCTAATCCTCCAAAGACAAAATCACAGGTTTTCGCCATCCGGAAGATCTTCTCTGAGGCGCGCATCAGCCGCCATACAGAAGCTGGATGCATTAAGCATTCTGCCGCTCCACAGGGCATCAGCACCTCTCACACAGCACAGCGCACTAGCTATCCTGCAGTTTCCCAAGTAGCAGGACCATTAACACTATCTGCAGCCGCATCCAAGCTGACTATTTTCTTAAACCCTTTTGAGATCTTGAAGACATCGGCCGGGGCGTCAGATGAGCAGATGGAACTTTTATGAGATAGAAGTCAACGTGGCAACCTCTCAACTTGCTTTGCACCAACTTATTACGTACTAACTTGCCCTCACATTCGTGGGTATTGCGCTTATACTAAAGGGGGTTATTTTTAATTTTTAATTTTTTTCCCTTATATATCTTTTATATCATTTACCATAATTGTATCTTAGTCATCAGATACTCTTTTATTTTGTAGATCAGGTCTCATGTCCCTAGGTTAGGGAGTCGTGGGCCTCCGACAACTGAGGCAGTAAGCTTTGGCGTCCTTTTTCCATTTGGATTTTAGATAAGACGGGCCTAGGCCCGATTTTAGATAGACGTTAAATATAAAACAAACAAACAAACAAACAAACTGCTTACCCGGCCACGTGTTTCCAGGTGTCACTAAGTTGTAATAACGCTTCAGCCTCCGGACTAATAGTGCCGTTTCGTTCAGCTTCGTCCCCCCCCATACAGACTCATCGTAAGAATTCTCGATAATAGGCTTAGGTATCCGCCTAAGCTCAAATAATGGTCAAACCGTAATAGTTCAACTTTCTTGCAGTTGTAAAATCTCTGTTGAGTGATTTTTGACCAAAATACCAAGTACAACTCCTTCAAGCCGAAAATCCATCAAGAAAAATAATCTCACCTTTTTTTGTGACTAAATCTCGACTTTGGGAGAATATTTCACTCCTAGCAGACATCTGTTTGTTTGTTTTAATTTTTTTGATATTTTGTTAATATATTTTTACTA